CTCCTGGTTTATTTCAACACAGACATCCTTCCATGAAGCCTTCCTCTCCTCTGATTAGTAGCCTACTGAGATTCTTAACAATATTCCTAACATGTTTCCTGCTTCTCCTGCAGGAAAAGACTGCTGCAGAAAAGGAGAGATGTCATTGCACAAAGGTCTGTGCCATCATGGCAGCTTTGCATTAAAGAACTGGGAGTCCCTGCAGACACCAAGTTGACCATGAGTCAGCAATGTGTCCCTGTGGCAAAGAAAGTCAACTGCACAATGGTCTGCCTTAGGAAAACCATTGCCAGCATGTAAAGGGAGGTTATCCTGACCCTCAGCTCAGCACTGGTGGAACCAAAGTTGGAATGCTATGTCCAGCTCTGGGCTTTCTAGATCAGAGAGATGTGGATGTACCGGAGCAGGACCAGAGATGAGCCTCAAAGATGATGAAGTGATTAAAATGTCGGTCATGGGAGATGGGACTTGTTACCCTGGAGAGGAGAATGTGCAGGGAGGATCTTATACATGTGCATAACCTACTTGATGGGAAGGTAAAAAGAAGATGAAGCCAGACTTTCTCCTGTGAATAGGCAACAGGGAATAGACACAACCCCAAATAGCATAAATTACATTTAAACATAAGAAAATACATTTTCTCATGAGGAGAGAGGTAAATCCAGGTTGCCCACAGAAGCTCTGGATCCTCCATCCTTGGAAATATTCAAAACCCAACAGGACATGGTCCCAAGCAACCTGCCATAGATGACTCTGAATAGAAAATCAGCAGAAGTCATTTCCGATCTTAGCTGTTCTGTGCTTTTGTGAGGAAAACCTCAAGGCATATGGAGACAATGGGGTAATTGCATATTGATGTTCAAAGAAAATACTGTGGTGTAGATGAGGAGTGTATGGCATCTTCACTTGGAATGGGAGTGTATGGCATGTTCAACAATTGTTTCCATGTTGTATGGAGAGCAATGTTGCCTCATAGTGGCAGACCCTTGGACCTCTCTTTGTGCTTTCTGGAGGTGTGTTATTTACACCAGGAGATGTAGAAGGTTTCAGATTTTGTGTTGCCCCATGTGTTACCTTCCACCTGGAGCTGCACAGCAGTGTGCCAGACAAACAGGGTCTCAGTTCTCCAGAAAACAAAAAAGCCAGAAGCCTTTGGAAGGCTATGACAAAAACACCAGTAGCAACAAGGAGGTTTTCTAGGTTTATTTATGTTTTTGCCTTTTTTTCAGGGAAAAACTTCTGGAGCATTTTAATATTGTTACCTTTTCTTTCTCTTTCTTTTTTTCTTTCTTTCTTTCTCTCTCTTTCTTTCTTTCTTTCTTTNTTCTTTCTCTCTCTTTCTTTCTTTCTTTCTTTCTTTCTTTCTTTCTTTCTTTCTTTCTTTCTTTCTTTCTTTCTCTCTCTCTTTCTTTCTTTCTTTCTCTCTCTCTCTTTCTTTCTTTCTTTCTTTCTTTCTTTCTTTTTTTGAAAGCATGTATGCTCAATTGCCTATTCCATGCCTGAGAAATGAAACCCAAGGGCGAAAGCACACAGGTGCTCAGACAGAGCATGGGGTTCCTCCATGCTGCTGGAGCACCTGCACCTTTCCACTACATGCTTGCTTGGTGGGCGAGAGCACAGGGATGCTGAACCACAGTCACTGCCTCTCTGGGGCACAGGAAGGAATGCTTCTTCCAAATCTCTTCAGTGTTTTGGAGAGCTTGGAGGCCACAGCAGGCACTCATCATTCCACTGTCCAGGTCTGCCATCCCCTTCATGGCAAACACTTTTCCACTGCCCTTTAAATATTTTGCCTTCTACCCATCACGTGGTGGACAAGACCACATCCTAACCATTGCTGTTTTGTTACAGGTTTGGTCCAGTACTGCTGAATTTGCACTTTTTGCTGTCTTCTATTTTCCCTTTAGGGAAAGGGAAAGCTTTGTATTTGCTTGTAAGTGTCATGGCTCTTTTCCCTTTTCCCATTCCTTCATTTTGACCTTTGTTGTCATTCAGGAAACAACATAAGTCACTGAGTTGTATCTTTGTACTTTAAGCACTTTCCAGTTTAATAATCATAGAAAGGAAAGTTTACAAATGTAGCCCTTTTCAAGTCTTCTTATTGTTGAAGTGTACAGGCTTCTAAATTTAACAAACTGGACCAACTGCTCCTGGCTAGAAGAAACCAGATACTTCTGGCTACAAGAAAGGCAGAAAGTGAATAAAGTGCTTATGATAAGCCTTGAGATGTTGAAATTTTGCATCTCTTGGAACTGTTCATACCACTGCTTTAATTTCTAAAGCACAAAAATTAATGTATACTTGGTAAAATAGCTGTTTTTACCACTGAAAAACAATTGAGTCTATATCACAAATATCCTGATGATATTTAAATATTGTAGATGTCAGACATGTAGCACCAGCTTCTTTCCTCTACAGATCCACTTTTATCATAGAGTATCCTGTGTTAATGTGGAAATAGAATCATGGAATCATGGAATACCCTGAGTTGGAAGGAACCCACCAAGATTTCACAGAATTTCATAGAATATCCTGAGTTAGAAGGGACTCACAGGGATCACTGAAGTCCAGCTCCTGGCTCTGCAAAGGAAACCCCAAGAATCATGTGCCTGACAGCATTGTCCAAATGCTTCTTGAGCTCTGTCAAGCTTGGTGCTGCAACCACGTCCCTGGAGAGCCTGTTCCAGTGCCCAACCATCCTCTGGGTGAAAAACCTTTTCCTAATATGTAACCTAAACCTGAGACAACTTACATTCATTACAACTGACATTCTCTCGAGTCCTGTCACTGGTCAACACAGAGCAGAGATCAGTGTCTGCCCCTCCTCTTCCTCTCACAAGGAAGCTGTAGACTGCAATGACGTCTCCCCTTGGTCTCCTCTTCTCCAGGCTGAAAAAATCAAGTGACCTCAGCCACTCTTCATATTGCTTCCCCTCCAGACCCTTCACCAACCCTCCTTTGGATGCTCTCTAACAGCTTTATGTCTTTCTTATATTGTGGTGCCCCAAACTGCACATAATATTCAAGGTGAGGCCGCACCAGCACAGCGCAGAGCAGGACAATCACCTCCCTTGACCAGCTGGCCATGCTGGGATGTAACTCGGGACACAGCTGGCCCCTTTGGCTGCCAGGACACAGTGTTGGTTTATATTTTACTTGCCATCAACCAGGATCACCAGGTCCCTTTCTGTGGGGCTGCTCTCCAGCATCTTGTTCCCCAGTCTGTATGTACATCCAGGGTTGTTCTGTCTCTTAATATTGGAATAGCTGATAGCCAATATTAACAACAGAGTACCTCCTCTCAAAACTCTCAGTGGGGAAATGCTTTGCCTAATAGTTGTCAATTTACTTATTCTTTCTTATGCTTTTTGAGTTGTATGATTTTTCAGGTGATTTCATCCTCTAAAATGGCAGAGTTGATGGAATACTTGTTCCTTGAAATATTTATCATACTAATTGTCAGTGCATCTTTAATACCCATTGGAATTGTATTGAAAAATACATAAGAAGAAATTAGTTTTCCATTCCATTAGGCTTGGTAATCTGTGCTACAGAGGGGAATCAAACTCTAAATGTGTGCATTCATTCATTTAACAAACTGGAAACATTCATTTAACATTCATTTAAATAAATGCCTAAGAAACTTCATATCTACATGCTTATTCATTCTAAAACAGGAGGATTTTATACTTAATTCCATTTTGCTCACAACAGTTATCACTGTAATAATATTTTTAAGGATTTGTGGTCCAGAAAATTAAGAAAATAAACATAATTTCATGACAAGCATTTGTGACTTTCTTTTATTATGTTAACAAAAAAATCAATTGTATGCATCAAACTCAATAATGTATGATTAGAATGAAAACAGGTAATAGTATTGAGCCAATATATCCATATTTGCAGATGGCAATAGACACATAGGAACAAAAGACAGAGAATATTAGTATTCTCATGTGTTTCTTAAGAACAAGAGATGTAGCCTTGAATTATCATGGGAATGAAGAAGCCCAGCTGCACTCGTGGAATAATAATGTACTTGAATTTTGAACACTTGAGAGCTTTCCAGGGACTAATTGAAGTGTACTAGCTAAGCAAGACCAACAGAGATGGGATTATTTTAAAAGCTGTGTTTTTTCATAAAATTCCTTGTGGAAAAATCACTTTCTTTAGCACCACTTGCAGTATTTTTCACAAAAATCAAAATACTCTCAAATTTTAAGTTCTTCAGGTGTTTTAAGCAAGAATTCAGCTCTTTTTCCTGGTAGTTCTGAGTCCTGGATAATCTGGATCATCCAGATATCCATGTTTAAGGCTTCAAATCTACACACTGTGAGAAGGCATAACTGCACCTAAGTACGTTAGATCTCCTTGCACTCTCCATCACTTTGGAGAACCTCTGAAAGAAATTGTGAATTATGTGAGGTACTCATGGTGAGAGGACAACTCTGGTGATAATGTACACCATTTCCCAACAGCTAAATAAAAAAAATAAAATTTACATAGGCACCAATTAATAACCTGCATAGCAGAGTCTTATCCACAAGCATCTCCTCCAGACTAGAGATCTCAAGGACTGTGTTTCAGGAACAACAACATGGGTTTGTCAGCAGGATGCTACCAGGGGATGGGGTGAGCACAGCCCATGTCTTTCTATGTAATGGACTCCCAAAGATTATCCCATTCATATCTGCAACTAGTTCCTTGAATGAAAATCACTTGACCCCTTCCTGCCTTGTGAGAGTCTCTAGTCTCAGTGGGCTCAGTCTTTGCTTAGCTCAAGCAACGCTGAAAACAGTCCGAGAAGGGACACAAGTAAGCATGCTTGCTACTGTTTCCTCACCTGCAGGTATCTCTTTGCTATGGGAGTTTCCTTAATGGGCATCTTAGATGAGCCTTTACACTTGGAGAAAATGTTGAAGAGATTATACTACAATATTAGAGTAAGGGGGGGCTGTTTCCAAGGGGAAGGCAAGCATTGTTTCCAACTCATTCTTTCTCTAGGGTGAACAATATCTACCAAAGAAGAGGATCATGTTGCTTGGATTGTGTTTGATCAAAAAAAGGAATGGGTGGTCAGCCCTAAACTCTTCAAACTCAGAGGATGCTTGAGTATCTCCTGTCACAACAGTTGAGCCAGTCACCTCAGTGCCCTCCTCAGTGACTTCCATGTACGCCTCATGGACGGCCTCAGATATCTTCAGGCTCTCTGCTGAAGAGATGCCAGAGAGATTGGCCGAGGGGCTGAACAGGTC